GAAATCAGCAAAGATTTTAAATAGAATTACTGCATCCAGTTTTCATTTCTAAAGGATCACTTTGAAAATAAATTAGCATGAGGATAATTTACAGGTTGAGACAAGAGGGAAAAAAACAGGATCACACTGAAGTAATCTAGACAAGAAATGAGGGTTTGAACTTTCTTACACCATACACAAAAATATATACAAAATGGATGAAAGACCTAAATGTGAGACAGAAAACTATCAAAATCCTACAGGAGAAAATAGGCAGCAACCTCTTTGACCTTGGCCGCAGCAAGGGAAATAAAAGCAAAAATGAACTCTTGAGACCTCATCAAGATGAAAAGCTTCTGCACTGCAAAGAAAATAATCAACAAAACTAAAAGGCAACCAACAGAATGGGAAAAGATATTTGCCAATGACATATCAGATAAAGGGTTAGTATCAAAAATCTATAAAGAACTTAACCAAACTTTACAGCTGAATAACAAATAATCCAGTGAAGACATGGGCAAAAGACATGAATAGACATTTCTCCAAAGAAGACATCCAGATGGCTAACAGACACATGAAAAAATGCTCAACATCATTCGTCATCAGGGAAATACAGATCAAAACCACAATGAGATACCACCTCACACCAGTCAGAGTAGCTAAAATCAACAACTCAGGAAACAACAAATGTTGGTGAGGATGTGAAGAAAGGGGAAAACTTTTGCACTGTTGGTGGGAAAGCAAACTGGTACAGCCATTCTGGAAAATACTATGGAGGTTCCTTAAAAAATTAAAACTAGAACTACCCTACAACCAAGCAATTGCACTAGTAGGAATTTATCCAAAGGATACAGAGTGCTGATTTGAAGGGGCACATGCACCCCAATGTTTATAGCAACACTATCAACAATAGCCAAATTATGGTAAGAGCCCAAACGTCCATCAACTGATGAATGGATAAAGAAGATGTGGTTTGTATATACAATGGAAAACTGCTCGGCAACGAAAAAGAATGAAATCTTGCCACTTGCAATAATGTGAATGGAACTGGAGGGTATTATGCTAAGTGAAATAAGGCAGTCAGAGATAGACAAATATCATATGATTTCACTCATATGTGGAATTTGAGAAACTTAACAGATGACCATAGGGGAAGGGAAGGAAAAATAAGGTAACAGAGGGAGGCAAACCCTAAAAGACTCTTAAATCCAGAGAACAAACTGAGGTTTGATGGGGGTGGAGAGCTAGGGGTAGGGTAGGAAAAATGGGTAATAGGCATTGAGGAGGACACTTGTTGGAATGAGCACTGGACATTGTATGTAAGTGATGAATCACAGGAATCTACTCCTGAAGCCAAGACTACACTGTATGTTAGCTAACTTGAGAATTAAAAAAAAAAAAAAAAAAAAAAAAGAAGGAAATGAGGGTCTGAGCTAAGGTGGTCTTAACATGAATAGAAAAAAGTAAACAAGATCTAGTCATTAGGAAGGAAACAATCTATAAATGGTGATTAATTACATATATAGAATGAAGTCAACAATGACTTCCAAGTTTCTAGTTCAATCACTGTGAAGATGGTGCCATATGCTGAGATAGGAAAATTGGAAATGAAATTGATTTAGGATAGAAAAAAATTATATTCAGTTATAGAAGTGGTAAGACTAAGATGCCCATGAGTTTTCAGATGTTCATTATCTGGCAGAAATCTGAGTATAGATCTGACAGCGAGGTGAGCGATAGGTCAGAGAGCTGTCAGTAAACAACTAAAAGCCACAGTATTGGAGAAGATCAATCTGGAGGACAGAAGGCAGAGAAAGAGAATACAAAGGAAGTCTCCACAAAGGAGACTCTATAGATAAGACCATAGAAGCTGGAAGAGAAACAGAAGAAGTGCCACAGTCATAGGAGAGAGCGACACAGAACAGTGGATCAACTGTGCTGAAAGCTGCCAGGTGGTAAATTAGGTTAAAGGATGGAAGAGGTTTCAGTGGATTAAGAACTTCTGTATTTATTCTGACTTTTGGCAGAACAATTTCAGTTAAATAGTTGAACAAGACGCCAGATTATAGTGCTTTCCAGAGTTGACAGAAGAGAAAGAAGTAGAGACTTCAAATATAGTTAATTTTTTCAGGAGGTTCTTTTTTTTTTTTTTTTTTTTGGTGGGGGGGAAGGAAGGAAGGAAGAAGAAAACCATAGGATAGTAGCTATAAGAAGACACAGGTCAAGGGAGATGTTCTTTGTTTTTAATAGGAGAGTTTAAACACGTTTAAATGATGAGAAGTAGCTATTCTTCTACATGGTTAAAATGTAATATCCATTTGGAGAAGTAGAATAACAAAACTATTTGCAGTTAAGTGTTTTAAGACTAAAAGACAAAACCTTCCCTAAGTGTAAAGATAATCTTTGAATACACACTATAGATATCAATGAAAACTTGAGAACAAACATACAAGCCATTTGTTCTAGATTAAATAATGCAACTAATATGCATTTGTTTCCCCTAATTGATTTCAACAAAGGCAATAATTTTATGAATATTTAAAAAAAAACTATTCACTGGACATCTATGTGCTAGATAGATGATAAGAAGGACTACGATATCCTACTTGCTCCCAGGCACTCACGGGTGTAGTAAGGAAGACAAAACACCTATATTGCTCATTGCAAAACTACTTAAGAAGTGCTGAGATATAAGTAAGCACAAGATAAAACTGAAACACTTCAAGGAAAATATAAATTAAAAACTCAACAACAGAAGTACCTATCTTTATATTTTGTTCATAAAATTATCAAAAAACTCCAAGAGTACAGAAAGTTTTAAAAAATGAAAATGTTTAGGGGCGCCTGGGTAGCTCAGTCAGGTGAGTATCCAACTTCAGCTCAGGTCACAATCTCGCGGTTCATGAGTTCGAGCCCCACGTTGGGCTCTGTGAAGACAGCTCAGAGCCTGGAGCCTGCTTCAGATTCTTTGTCTCCCTCTCTCTCTGCCCCTCCCCACTCGTGCTCTGTCTCACTCTCTCTCTCAAAAATAAACATTAAAAAAAATTAAAGAAAAAAGAAAATGTTTAGGGTTAAAAGTATTCAAATGGCAAAACTATAGAAAAAACAGTAACACACATGACAAAGTGTCCACAAAATAAGATTAATAGATTTTGAGTGTTAATTCTTTATAAATACACGAATATACATTATTTTGTGTATTTAATTTATAAACTTACCCAAAGATGAGGAATTAAATATCTCTAAATGATTAAGAAAAATTACCCATTTGGGAGTATGAATATGAAAAAAGTCTCAAATAAATATGTATACACTGCCCTCATGGGGTAGTATTATGTACTTCATTAAAATATAAGCAAAAAAGGTATTGGACCCCTTGGATATAGTTTAATCCTAATTACCCTAACCAATGAGGAAGCAATACTAGTGTGACTAATAATATAAACCATACATATTTCTATTTATGCCAAGTTTCTTTCCTGGTTGGGGAGCATTAACTTTGTATTCCAGTAGGTACTGTAACTTTTGGGCGACCTGGATCAAAAATTCCATGCACAGATAATTCAGAGCTAACATTCCATGGGTAAATCAAATCAGCCTTTAAATCCCATTAAATAATGTTCCTTCTTTTTCAACTTTTTTATGTTTATTTATCTTTGAGAGAGAGGGAGAGACAGAGCATGAGTAGGGGAGGGGCAGAGAGACAGGGAGACACAGAATCTGAAGCAGCCTCCAGGCTCTGAGCTGTCAACACACAGCCCAACAGGGCTTGAACCCACGAACAGTGAGATCATGACCTGAGCTGAAGTCGGACACTTAACGGACTAAGCCACCCAGGTGCCCCAGTAATGTTCCTTTTTTTCTATCAAACTGCATTGTACTACAAATCTCATTTATAAAAGGCAAAGACTATGGCACAAAAACAGACACATAGACCAATGGAATAGAATAGAAACCCCAGAACTAGACCCACAAACGTATGGCCAACTCATCTTTGACAAAGCAGGAAAGAACATCCAATGGAAAAAAGACAGTCTCTTTAACAAATGGTGCTGGGAGAACTGGACAGCAACATGCAGAAGGTTGAAACTAGACCACTTTCTCACACCATTCACAAAAATAAACTCCAAATGGATAAAGGACCTGAATGTGAGACAGGAAACCATCAAAACCTTAGAG